TTTGAAGCTGCTGGGAGACCCAGACTATGCAATACTTGATCAAGGCAGTGAATGCTTCGCAGAAGGTGTGCCGCTGGGGTGGGACAAACCGATCCCCCGCACGCCACAGGTGTTTCCGAAACGCACCCACTTCAGGAAGCTTGATGAATCCGATTTTGATCCGTCGATGGTGAACTACCGATCGGCCGAGATGAATGCCTCCCAGCTGGAGGAGAAGTTCCGTGCGGACGAGCAGGCAGGTCTGATGATCTGCACCACTGAAGCGGAAGCTCGCCGGAAATATGGGGAGGACGCAGTGCTCATAGCAGCTATGGGAGCTGTCACCAAGGCGAACGGTGACGTGCGCCCATTGCACGATGGGACCCATGGCATAAACCTGAACAACTCTATTAAAATCCTTGACAAGCTACAAGTTCCGGGACCTGAAGATCTTCAAGAGGTGGCTTCCCGAGTCAAAGAAAGTAAAGAAGCTCCTTTTACACTTTGTGCCGACATTAGCCAAGCCCACCGGAATGCCAAAATCAGGGAGTGCGACTGGGCACGGCTAGCGTGTAAATCTTCCAGCACATCACGCGTCTTGTGGCTTAATAAGGTAGGAACTTTCGGGGTCAGCTCAGCGGCCTACTACTGGACCAGATTGTTCGCCACTGTAGGGAGGTGGACTTTCCGTGTGCTGCACCACGACAAGTTCTACATGCTTATTTATGTCGATGACCTTCATGTGGTGGTGTACGGTGCCGAGAAATTTGAAACCTTATGGGTCCTGTTCTTGGCGATGGAAGTTTTGGGGACACCCTTCTCGTTCCACAAGTTTAAAGGGGGCGTCAGTGTGGACTACATTGGCTACCACATCAGCTACTACGAGTGGGCAGCCGGCATCTCTGAGAAACGAGCCAACTGGATTATCGAATGGATCAACCGTGTCGAGTCATCGAATTGGGTGGTCACCGGACGGGCGCTTACGGAGTTCACGGGACGCCTGTGCTTCGTGACACGGCTGTTAACTTGGTTGAAGCCATTTCTTGCACCGCTATATGCTTGGAACAACGTGCTGAACCGGAGCACGGCTGCCCAGGTCCCTGAGATGGTGATCCATGTCCTTCGGTTCTTCAGGTGGCAGTTCTTGAATGGGGCCCGTCTTGATGCCGTGCACATGTGCTGGCCGTCGTGCGAGCGCCAGGCCTTCAGGACCGATGCCAAATGTGAATCTGGACGGATCGTGCTAGGGGGATGGTCACTTGATCATGGCATGGACACGCGTCGGGCACCTTGGTTTGCGCTGGAAATCTTTCCAGCAGATTTTCCGGCACTCTTCAAGGAAGATGGATCTTCTGAATGGGCATCTACGGCTGCGGAGTTGCTGGCATCTTATGCCGGCTTGGTTGCTTTCAAACATCTTGAGACTTCAGGTGGCCGAGACTCGCTTCGCTTGCAGGTTCATGCTGGCACGGACAACTCTGCTACCCCAGCAGTGTTGGCTAAGGGCATCAGCAACAAGTGGCCAGTGCAGGGCCTGCATATGCAATTGTCACTGTCTTTGAGAAGCGCCAACAAGTTGTGCCGGCTGTCTTGGCGCCCACGGGAGGAGAACCAGGATGCAGATGACCTGACGAATCTTCGTACTAGCAACTTTGATCAGGCCTTGCGGGTTCCCTTGTCATTGTCTGACCTCCCGCTGGACTTGTTCAACATGCTTCGGGAGGCCCATACCGATTTCTTGTCAGAGAAGGCGAGGCTCGCAGGTGTAAAGGCATTTGAACCGAAAGTGACGAAGAGACAGAAGTTACTTGACAAAACCGAATGGTCAGGCTGTCGGCTTCTCTCACGGCCGGTCTCAAGTTGGGGTGCTGTTGCCGGTTGTTCGATCAGCCGGTTGCCGTAAGTGCAATGCATTCTCCTTGAAGCCCGTAGGCTGTGCAGACCGAATCCGGAGAGTCCCGACACACGTCGCAAAATGAAGGCCAGTCCGAGTGAGTGCGCATTCAGTTTGAACATGATTGGAATGTTGCGAACTTGTTTTACCTTGTACCTTAACCTTGCCAGTGAACCCTGAAACCCCTTGCCACCCTAGAGCCGTAGCCTTCTTGGTTCAAACAGCGGGACAAACCGTTTGGGTTCCCCAAAAGGATTGTCTCGTGGTTTGAGCCGGGAGGGTGGGCCGGGGGAAAAGTGAAAAACTTTGCGTAAGGCTTCGCGCCGCTTGGAAAGTACTTTGGTAATTTCGTAGATTGCAATGCCATGAGTTCCTCTTGCTTGTCTGCACTAACTGCGTTTTGCTTGAGCTCAGTTCAACTGTACGAATGTCGTTGCCACTTTGGCACGAGGACAAATTTTGTGTCCCACCCACGCCGCCCTTGAATGCCGAAGGCATCACTTGTGTTTCAAGTGTCACTCTTGCATGCCAACGTCTGCTATGTGCTTGTATCGCACGGAAGGGGTGCTGTTGCCGGTTGTTCGATCAGCCGGTTGCCGTAAGTGCAATGCATTCTCCTTGAAGCCCGTAGGCTGTGCAGACCGAATCCGGAGAGTCCCGACACACGTCGCAAAATGAAGGCCAGTCCGAGTGAGTGCGCATTCAGTTTGAACATGATTGGAATGTTGCGAACTTGTTTTACCTTGTACCTTAACCTTGCCAGTGAACCCTGAAACCCCTTGCCACCCTAGAGCCGTAGCCTTCTTGGTTCAAACAGCGGGACAACACCCGGGTTTTTGACGCCCTCAAGCATGGTCTTGGCCTCAGCAATGCTCGCCCCGCCAACGCGGACACGGGTAACGCGCACCGAGTGGTGGCCGAAGGTACATCCCTCGCGGAGTTTATCTCGGATTGGCTGCCAGAGCTCCCCCCGCCGGGACACCTTACCACGGAGGCGCAGGCTGCATCCCTCTTCTCCTTCTTCTATGACCATCACAATGAATTGGGGGCATTTGTGGACCTCTTCACCACTACAGTCTGCGCTGGCACTACAGGTGCAGTCGACATCTGCATTATCGACAGGGCTGGTCGCTTTACCATGACCGGAGAGGATGCTCATCAGCGGCTCACGGCGGGCAGCACGCGACCCACGGGCCCATTGATCATCGCCTCCCCCACTCATTGGTGGGGTATTCCGGCGGCATTGGAGCTCCACTCTGTCCTCCATCACACCCACGTGCGATGGGAGGAGCTGTACAGCGCCTATGGGCTGGCCAAGCTTGGGATATCAAGCCCTCCCCGCGAGGACAAGAAGACTGCCCAGGAGTTTTACGAACGATGGTCCGTGAATCGCGTCCCCTCGCTCTGTAAGGCTACAGCGGTCGCAGCTCACAGTGGCATAGAGGGCTACCCGGTTCAGCTCCTCCTTCGGGGGGTGGACTTTGAGCACAGTGGACCGCGCGGTCAGTCCATCACGGCACGGCCGTTTTACCCTGTCATCGATACCGAGTTTCCTGTGTTTGGACTACTGGAGTTCACTAACCCGCCGAGGTTCGGGCTCCATCGCCTCCGTGACCACAGAGGAGGCGGTGTCCCTCTCCCCAAGAGGCTCTTCAGTGCCCTCCGCTCCACCCATCACAGATCGCTGATAGGGTCTCACATGCCTTGCGCGGAACCTGCCACTGAGTGCCGCGGCATCGCTGGTGTGTCGGAGTCAACAGTGATGGCCGTGCCCGGCGCATTCTACTTCTACGCTATTTCCTCTGACACAGTCAACACCAGGCTGCTAGGGAGGTTGCAGCGCTATGTGTCGTCGCGCCTACGACATTCTTCCCCTCAGGCAACATTGCTCCCGCCGGTGGCTACTACTGGACTGCCAAGAGCCCTCTATGATCCGACAGGTGCGGTGCGCCCGGACCCGGAGATCGGAGAGCCTGCCAAGGAAGATCCGACGCTGACAGCCGAGCTACGCAGCCAAAGCTGCGGCCTCTCACCCAGTTGCACCTACCGCTACATGGACTCAACGTGTGGAGGACCTACTGGGCGCGGTCGAATCCCCGCCGGATCGCCTTGTGCCAGGGGTCACCTCAATTGCCAGCAGGTGTGTACCAGCAGATGATGAGGATGAATTCGCGGAGCAGCATGACACCCTTCGCCGTTACCAAGCTAGGGGCAGACTTCAACAGCCGGTTCAAGGACTTGACTGCGCTGGGGCACTTCAGCAATTACTCCCCAGCTCTCCGGACTGCCTTACCCTGCTTTCCCTCCCCTTGTCGTTGCCGGCTTGTGAACTGTTTATGATTTCTCCATGTAGCATACCGTATTGTGATGTATTTGTTTTATCGGTGATGCACTCATTTTCACTTGAGCATGCGAAAGACATGTTGATTACCCGCAGGCGTTCTTCAGAGTCACAAAAGATTTTCATGGTAGCGGAGCACTGGGAAAGCCCGGTGCCCGAGACACGTGGGTTGAGCTTTCGGTTTCTTGCTTTGCGGGATCCCCCAAGCTCAGGTTGTGAAAGCTTCTCTGGAGTTCAGGGTCCTTTCGGTGAAATCTAGTAAGCGCGGCGGGTAGCTGCAGACACCGCTGCCGAGCGGTCGCCATATCGTGCTACAACGGCCACCTGTGAAGGCCTTGCATTGCTCAAAGAGCGGCTGCATTCGTATTACGTTGAGCAGCTGTGTGAACGTCCTAGGCCAGCCGGCCGTTCAGGAACTTCTTGGGATAACATCCTTAGCACCTATAGGGTAAGCTTTGAGAATCACCTTGAAAGTTTGGAAACCATTGAATCTGTTTGGCATTTCGGGGAAAAGTGCTTGAAGAAGGAGCATTTAAAGGAAGCCTTCAGATACTTTGGTTTTGAGGACGTGTTCAACAGTGCTACACCGCAAGCCGTGCAAGCAGCGATTGTTTTTCCTGAGGAAGAGTGCGAGCGTGACATTGCATTTCAGGACCGGACGTTAGGAGTGTTTGAGCAACCCTTGATACCAGGGAGTGCGTCGATTGATCTGCAAGATTCTTTTCAGTGTGCCTTGCAGCCTGCAGAAGAGCCGATTGATCTTGATTGAGCATTGCTGTCTGAACAATGGCAAGTGGAAGCGCAGGTGTTGCACCAGGTGCAGGTGTGGATGATGATGATGACCCCGAGCTTGCTGAGGGCCCTCAAGCCCCGCAGGCTCCGGGGAACCCGTTCAGCCCGACAGGTGGTGGAGCAGGGATGCTGAATATCAGCCAGAGCGATCTTGTGCTGATGATGAGACAGATGATGGAAGCAACAACAGCGGCGAGTACAGCCGCGCAAGCAGCGCTGGCCGCAGCAACCAAGGAGCGCAAGTCAGGTCTGGGTGGAGGCGACGTGTCCCGTCTGTTGCCGAAACCAGGTTGTGGTCCCGGAGGGACGAAACCCTTATTTACGTTTTGAAATGGTTTTAAAGTTTTCTTTGAAACCAAGCATGCTTCTTTTTCGGTCGCTGTCACGTCTCGTTGCGAACTTGTGATGCGCCGAAACATTATCTCTCAGAGGAGGGTTGGGTGGGCCACCTTTAAGCATTTCCACCAATGTGTGGATTTTGTGCTTGGGGGTGGGTAGTCTAGTAGCCGGGCAGCCTTGGTAGTTGCCGCCATGCAGGACGGCACTGATAGGACAAGTGCTGCAGGTGAGAGTCTGCTAGGCTCTGAGATCGATTGGGGGTCTGAACCAAGTCCCTTTGAAAGCTGGGCTCTGCCTAGCAACGGATCCGGTGATCAATCCTTTGATCTCTTGCTTGCAAACAGCAGTGGGCCACGTGCAGACCCCATTGAGGCCTCGAGGAGATCCGAAGTTTCTTTTCCGGGGACTGAGGACGTGTCATTTGATCTTGCATCGGGCTCTTCACAAGCCGCTTGTGGTCATGTTGACACTGAGAGTGTTGGTGAGCTTTCTGAACCAGCACGGGGATCCCTCGAGGCGCAACAGCATCAGCCACTTGATTCCGCAGGTTTCGTAAGCCACTTGCGTGCAGCAAACTTGAGTCTCCGAGATGCTGAGCCGAAGTTCTTTTGGGAAGAAGGGTTCTGGTCTGATTTCTTTAGTCCGAAGGTTGTGCCTGAAAGTGTGCTTCCAAATTTCCGTGATCGCAGGCCTGACCCATTTGCTTTGCCTCCGCAGAGTACCGTGAAGCCTGTCGGCCCCGCACCTAACAAGAAAGCCAAAGTTGGTTTCAGTAACACCTTCCAGAAGGTTGTTATCAACAGGCAGGTCATCTCGTGGAAGGATGCGCGCGAGGCTGCATTCGAGACTTCGATTATCAAGTGGGTTGTTTTGTTCGGTTCTTGGGATTGCGAGAAGGACCCCTTCCTTGCCGATCTTGTGGGTCAAGACGAGTTAGTACAAAGGCGCATTGTGGCTGATTGCCTTGCACGAAAGGCACCATCCACGTCGTTGAAGCGTGCAAACTCTTTGATCAAACTCACCAAGATTGCTACTCGTGCCAGTGTGCGCATGCCTTTGGAAGAATCAGAATTGTACAACATCCTTCATGACGCAAAAGCAGGCGGCGCCCCTCTCTCCCAGCTCCGAGGCTTCATGGAGAGCTGTACCTTTGTGAGGTTTGTCTTCGGGCTCGATTTCCTCGAGGTTACTTGCATAAGTAAGAGATGTTGGGGTGTCACCGTGGCCCGCGCGGCTGCACCAGTGCGACAGGCTGAACCCTTGAGAGTGTCTGATGTCAAGAAACTCCATTATGTGCTTATGGAGGATGGTGACGTGTGGAATCGTTGCTTCGCAGGCTCAGCATTGTTCTGCGCATATGGCCGATGCCGATGGTCTGACATGCAGCATTTAGACGGGTTCGAACTTGACTACTCGGACCTTCCAGGATCTCCTGTTGCCTTCGTAGGAGGCGTCATTGTCGTGCACAAAACAATGAATCTGCAAGGGCCCTTGCCTAGGTCCTTGGAGATAATTGCACCTGCGCAAGGTATCATTCAAGGAGACTGGGTGTCCTGCTGGCTAGCTGCCCGTGAAGCAGTCGGTTGCAATTGGAGTTCAGGTCATCCCGTCATGCCAGCACCCAATCATTTGGGTGAGCCCACTGTCAGGGCTCTTGACAGTGATGAGGCCGGAGCTTGGTTGCGTGTTCTGTTAAGCGACCGCGGGGAGCTTCGCACCACTTCTCATTCATTGAAAGCCACTTTCTTGAGCTATTGTGCCAAAAGGGGAATGAGTCACTTGGACAGGTTGGCTTTAGGCGGGCACTCGCATGGTGCCAAGAGTGCAGATACTTATGCCAGGGACGCAATGGCCAGGCCCTTGCGGCTGCTGCAAGGAGTCATCCATGAGATATCCCAAGGAATCTTCGCTCCTGATGCAAGCAGGGCAGGTCGGTTGTTGCAAGGGCATGCATCTTCGGAGTTGGGAAAAGAACTGGGTCACTTGGAAGCTTCTCAGCCAGTCGGCCCCGCTACCACAGCCGGGCCCTTGCCACGCGTCCCGAAAGACGAGGTCTTTTCTATCATGAGTTCAGACCTGCCATCACCTTCTGCCGCTGAGGCCAGCGAGCAGTCGAGGGAAGTGCAGGACCAATCAGATCAGGCCTCTGGGGCCTCTGATGAGGGCAGTGGTTCCGCATCAGATTCCGTCGAAGGAACAACCAGTTCAGACTCCGATTCGAGTTCTAGTTCCGAAGATAGTGGATCTGCCCCAAGGCCCGCTCGCGTCCTTCAGTTGCCAACGCCGCCGGAGGGGTTTCGATTTTTGCAACACACGAGCCCAAAGTCTCGGATGCTGCATTACATTAAAGATGGCTACCACAACGTAGTGCTGTGTGGAAGGAAGGTCACCGATTGCCTCAAGGTTCCCACGCACATCAGGTGGGACACCCCAGTGTGTGGAAACTGCACCAGGAGCTACAGAGCTCTGGGAAATTAGGGCTTCGACATGGGCTCGCGACAAAGAGGAAACATTGAGCGGTGAAGTCGTTGTGAGTCTTGTATTGATTGTTGCTGTGTGTCAGGACGTGGCAGTGAGTGTTGTGAGGCGTTGTAGTCACCAACTTCGAGTTTGTACGACTTGTGTTGCAGGTGTGCTCAGGACCGCTGCTGATGCTGGTAGAATTTTATTGGTTACTGAGGCCTGACAACCAAGCACATTACAGGACTTGTCATGGAACACGAGATTCACATTTCATGGTGAGTTGTGTCACGTAGTCCGCGGCTGTAGCTTCTGCCATGTCACTGATTGATTCTGAAGCAGAGTTCAAGAGTCGCTGCAAAGACGTTTGTGGGGACGTTGCATTATTCAATTCCTTGGAAAGAGCAGGAATCAAGTGCTTCTCGAGTTTAGCTTTCTCGTGTGGAACTCCTCAGGCGCCACCCACTGAAGATGAATTCACAGCCTTCGCAAGGCGAGTTAGTGGCGGTGAGGTGCCTTTGGGCACCGCCGCCCAGTTGAGGAGGTTGCACTTCGAAGCAGTCACTTTGGTCGTGGCGCAGCTCAAGCAGCAAGCAACAGCCGACCCGTCGGAAGCAGTGAAGAAATTGCCAATAGCAGAGAAACAGGCTCGCATCGAGGATCAGAAGAGAAGATTGAGGGGCATGGTTCTTGAAGAAGAAATGGAACCATCCTTTTCTTTGATTGATGCATGCGCGCACATGGTTGAACAAAATCACATTGTTTGGTTGCCACCTTCCAAGTGCACGAAGCGGGATCAAGAATTGAGAGCCGGTGTTAAGGAGCGATCAAAGTTTCTTGTGGCTGCAGAGCAAGGAGTCACATTGGCAGCGGCCCCATCGTCTCAGTCTGCTGATTGTGGCACTCCCCTTCAGATGCAGTGGTGTCTTCAGAGACGAGGACTAGCACTTGACATGAACCAGATCATAAGTTGGGAAGCCCACGAGCGCTGGGTTGCTTACTTGATGCAGTCCCTTGCACGGGACGTTCCCCCAGGTTATGCAAAAGTGAGTGTTGACCAACTCTTGAAGGCTGACAGCGAACTATTCCTCTTGATCTCCAAGGAAGTTCGAAGGGTCAAGGTTGCATCCGACGGGACGATGGAGGCCGACATTGCTCTGAACAAGTTGAAACACGATATCAGGGTGACGATGCATCTCCTTCCTTTACGTGTGGGAAACAAGGCAGTCGGAGTAGCACAGGTTGCAGATGATGGTGCAGGCCATGACGAAGCAGCAGCTGCTAAGAAGCGCAGGACCTTGGAAAAGAAAAGAGGTCTCTTGGCACCAGTGAAGACTGCAACCATGCCTGCCGAATTGCGCATGTGCCCGTATCAGACTGATCATTCTGGTCGTCGCGCTTGTTGGGGTTTCAATCTAGGGCAGTGCACCTTGTCCGCTCAGGGATCCCCGCCAGCTTGCCAGAAAGGAGTGCACATATGTATGACGTGCAGGAAGCCTGGTCATGGCCATCACCAGTGTTGGCACGCTGGAAAAGGTGGCAAAGGTGCTGGGAAAGGAAAGAAAGGCGGCAAAGGGCACACTCAGAAGCCTGATCCGCCACAAGACTCGTGACTAGGTCATGGGTCCAGGGAACGAAGTAGATCTGCATGCGCGTCCCGGCACGTGGTAATATCCACGAGCCCAGACTTAATTTGCAATGATCCAGATGCCTTTCATGAATACGACAATCACGATGTCGGCACGGGTCAGTCCTCAAGGGATTCAGGCCGTTGCCGCAACCCCAAATCAGATGCATCCCGCGTTGGCGAGCCCGCCACCGGGTGCTATTCCGAAAGCTTCCAGAAGTCTGGTGTTGATCCCGTTGATGCCGGCCTCGGCGGCTCCGGGTCAACCTCGGAACAAGTTGGCAGCCCAATGCATTTCACTTTCGAGCCCTGCACCACTCTCGAGAGTAATAACGACTGCCCTGCCGAAACTCTGGCGCGCCGACTTTTGGCGGCCGGGGAGTGCACGGACGCTCAACTTCTCGAGTTAATGGATCTCTTGCCATCGGAAAGATTGGCCAGAGGCTCTGGACTTGCTCGTTCAGAGAAATCCTTCACGACAGGTGTTTACGGGCAAGGTCCTTTGTCTGGATTGAGGAAGCATTGTACTAGCCACCCGGCTACGTCGAAGCTTCTCTTCAGCTTAGCAGCTCGCTTGTTTCCCGGTTTATCTTTCACGACTGCCAGCTTGTTCTTTAATGTCCAAACTTCATTGCACTCCGACAGCGGCAATTTGGTCGGTTCGGAAAATGGAGTTGCAGCACTGAGTCATTTCTCAGGTGGGCACATCAAAGTTCATACTGACCATGGAGCAATCCTGCTTGATGTGGCCACCAAACCAGTCACTTTCGATCCCACCCTGGATCACGAGACATGTGACTGGACCGATGGTCCCAGGTTGGTCCTCGTCGTTTATTCTGTGCGTGGCCTCGAGAAGTTGCCCGCTGCCGATCTCCAACTAATTAGAGGTTTAAACCCTTCCTTGCCTGTTGTAGGTCCCGGTTGTAAGCCTTGCCTTGACCTTAAGACAACATCTGCCGTGGCAGGTGATAAAGGGTTGGTGTTGCAAGTGTTCGCCGGCCCCGCGCGATTCGCCCAGACCTTGCAGAAGAGCGGCTTCGACGTCTTGGCCTTCGACAAAAGCGGCACTAGAGCCCAATTTCCGGTTCAGCCGTGGGACTTTCGTAGTTCCGAGGACGTCGATCTCTTATGTGGCATTCTTTCGGAACAAGTTGATCGCATCACGCTTCTTCATTTGTCTCCGCCGTTCAGTCTGTCAGGTGAAGATATGGTCTGCTTATGCCAGGCTCTGCGACGGCTTACGGACCATGCCTTGCAACTCGGCTTGCACATTTCCTTTGAAAACCCTGCGAGATCAGGACTTTGGACGTCAGCCCAGATGGCCCCTGTGTTCAGCTCGCGATTCCGAGATGTGAGTTTCGACTTGTGCATGCATGGAGGTCACCAAAATCGACGGGTTCGCCTGTCCAGTACTCTTGACCTCTTTGGGCCGTTGGCCATCCAGTGCTCTGGTTCACATAAGCATGCTTCAGATGCTGCCTTGCATCCGTCTGAGAGAGGAGCCTACCCTTGGCTCCTTTGTCACCGCCTTTGTGACCAGTTGTCTCAATTGTCTGCCGGGGCTTCTACCTCTGCCTCTTTGTACGGGCCTCATTCCAGCTTGTTGCGGTTGGCCTTGGATCGACAAGGCCGCCGGAAGAGGGCCTTAGTCTCGGAGTTTCGCGATTATGACGCTTGGAGTGTGGCGCCCGAGCTCGACGCCGATAGATCTCGTATCTTGGCTTTGTACCCCAAAGGTGCTCGCATTGTCCGTCGCAAACTTTGCAAGGGGGCGGATATTAAGGTTTGCCACGTGCCTTCCACTTCGTCACCTTTGCCTGGGTCTTTCCTTCAGGATTGGCGGATTGGTTCAGGGTCTGTGGTTTCCGATGGAGTGCAGGTTTGCGGGGCAAAAGCTTCCTTGTTGCCAGATCAGACTGTCGAAGTCGCATGGATTGGCATTCCCCGTGAACCCTTGGACTTCCTTTCCGAGGCCTCGAAAGCTGGGCACCCAAAATGTTTTCTAGATCAGGATGTGCCAAGTCTTGATTTGCTAGTTGAAAACTTGTTGGGTGACGTGCCTTGTGACGAGTCCCTGGACCGCTTGCTTGAGTGGGAGACTCTCTCCAAACGAACGAAATCAGTTGAAGATGAGGCTCGCTTGTCTTGGCCTCCCCACGTGCAGGAAGTCCTGAAAGGTAAAAACACTGAACTTCTGAAGCAACTCTTGCAGGAATATGATTACCCTGACGTCAAAGTGGTTGACCACATGAGAGAGGGTTTTCGGTTGTCCGGTTGGGTTTTCCGAACAGGCGTTTATCCGGTTGAGGCTAGGCCTCCAGCCACCACCATGAAGAGACAGTTGGCCACAGCCAGACCCCGGAATTTGGCGACATTGGCAAAGCTTCGTTCGCAACCGCTTGATGATGTCACACAACGTGCCTGGGAAGAAACACAAGCCGAGGTTGACCGAGGTTGGATATTCGAAGTGCCTTGCTGCGCAGCCCGTTGTACTGCTCGGACCGCCCAATCGGGTGGTTGCACTAAGGACTTCTCCGCGTGCCTTGGAATAGGTGGTGTCTTGATTGCCAGACGCTTTGGCTTGAGACAGACCGACAAAGTTAGGGTGATCGATAATTGCAAATCTTCGGGTTACAACCAGACCATTGGCCTTCCTGAGCGCTTCCGACTTCATGGCATTGAATTCTTGTGCGCATTGATCGTGCGTGCTATGAAGGACGCCAGGTCCCTTGTTACCCCGATTTTGGGGCGTACGTTCGACTTGACAGCTGCATACAAGCAGTATGCAGTGCACAGCGAGGATAGAGCCATTATGCGGATTGGAGCTCGCGACACAGACACTGGCGCTGTGCGCCTCTATGGTGTCAACTCTCTACCGTTCGGCGCCACTGGATCAGTGGCTGGCTTCCTCCGAACGTCAGCTGCATCCTGGTTTCTAGGCTGTCGTGCTTTGCGGTTGGCTTGGGTTAATTACTTTGACGATTACCCTTGTCTCTGCAAAGCATCTGCGCATGCCCACGTCGACAGGATCGTAGATCGTTTCTTCGGTCTGCTGGGAATCCTGTACGCTTGTGAAGGTCGCAAAGCTGTTCCTTTCGCAAAGACTTTTAAAGCATTAGGGATTTTGGTGGACCTTGAAAATTTTTGCTCGGGGGAGGTCACTCTCAAACACACGCCTGAGAGAATTGCATCCCTCAGTGCCAATCTCCAAAGTGTATTGGATAGTGATTGCTTGAGTCAGCCCGAAGCCGATCGACTAAGAGGCAAGCTTCACTGGTTTGCTTCTTTCTTGTTTGGACGCAGGTCGTGCCTTGCTCTACAGGTTTTGAGCAGACGTGCAAAGGGCCTTGGAAGTTCAACGAAGCTTGACCCAGAGCTAAGAGAAGCATTG